ATGTGATAAATGGCAGCTGCATCAACAGCTATCAACACAGACGCAGCAAATGCTAGAACAGGGAAAACTCCAGCTGATAAGGCCTCAGCGCAGGCACTGTGTCAGGACTGGAGACACAGAGATGCCAGATACACCTGGCTGGCCATCCAGTGAGAAGGATGGCAGGGACCGGGTGGCAGACGGAGGTGCACATCACAGCGGGCTCCTACCGCCACTTGCCCAGTCTAGAATTCCTCATGTATCAGACCTTCCTCCCAGGCTGAGCACCCCAGGACAGGGAAGAAGAGGCAGTCCTAGTTCTCCTAGCACCTGGCACAATGCTTGACACAGTTTAGGAGCTCACTACATTTAGGGCCACAAAATAATCCTTATTCTAGAACAACTGTTATGACTCACATTTGAATTGACTATACAGAGTTCTCAAAAACCTCAGATTATTAATTCGGAGAGAAAGCATCATATTTTATCTAGCTTTGCCTAATGCAGATTCTTATACACAATCCATATTCAATATTGGTTGGATTTTTTTAAATTAACAAAGCAGTTTTTAAACACTACACAAAATAACTGCTTTTGTCCAATTACAAACCCAAGCACAATTGATTAAAACAGTTGGGCCTTCTTTTCATGGAAAAGTATGAGTTAGTCACTCCTGGGCATAAATCCTCCAATGCCTCCCCACCTACAATCATGAAAAAGACGTTCCAGGCCCTGAGTCTCCATCCCCATCCTGATCCTGTGCTCCGCAGGACAGCAACTACTCAGAGAAGCCCTCCCTGACTGCCCCATTTCAAACCACACCTCCCACCCTCTCAGCCTTCCCCCTCTGCATTCTCTATTCTCTTCCTGACTTTCTTCCCCCACAGCACTTACAGCCTTCTCATCACTGCCAGCTATCGTCTACCGTAAAAGTAGAATGGAAGCTTCACACAGACGGGGATTTTGGTCTGTTTTGTTTGCTGTTTTATCCCCACTGTCTAGAATTGTGCCTGGCATAGAGTAAGGTTTCAATAAATATTTGCAGAAGAAATGAATTTTCCTTTAAAACAGTAAAACCATACAGCAGAACTTGCCTTTTGTTTTAAAAAGCCCCCTTCCTTTTTATCATTTTTAATGGGATTAAAACATATGGTTTCATATGTAGCTCAAAATATGGTCTGCTCTCTTGGTGATTATGAAACCCTACCTGGGGAGCCAATTGCACCAGAGGTCTCTTACCACAGAACATGCCCTTCGAGTTGCTTAATTCATAGAAGTTCTGTTCACATTTAGTAATAAAGTACAAATAATGATGTTATAACTAAATAATCTAAAGCAGAGTTCTTGTTTGAGGTTACATTTCAATGTAAACTAAAAAAATACTGGTAGAAATTTTAATGACCACTGTTTACATTTCACATACCAATAGAAGTTTAAAAATTCCTTAAAAAACACTAATCACTGTATAATTTTAAACGATGACTAAATACTAGGCCACATATACACATTTCAGACCAAAACTACACAGGCTGTTCTGTAGAAATTTTCCGTTGCTATTTCTATACACACAGACTTCACAAAGTACCATAATGTTATTAGTCATTGACCAGTCTTTTTCTTTTCCTTATTTTATGACAACATCTGTTCTTTATACTGTCAACAGTAATTGAGTTTGACCTTTTTTCATACTGTGAAGAACTACCTTCTGGAAGCCCTTTCTGGCTTAAGCAGATGAGGCTGTACTACAGAAAAGAGAAAGCAGGTTATAAACATTTCATCCATCCTTTCTTTTTTTCTTTTATTTTCTTAAGACAGGGTATCTGTCTGTCACCCAAGCTGGAGTAGAGCGCAGTGGCACAATCACGGCTCACTGTAGCCTCTAATTCCTAATCTTCTCGCCTCAGCCTCCAGAGTAACTGGGACTACAGGTGTGAGCCACCACACCTGGCTAATTTTTAAACTTTTTTTAGAAACAGGGTCTCGCTGTGTTGCCCACACTGATCTCAGTCTCCTGGCATCAGGCAATCCTCCTGCCTCAGCCTTCTGAACTGCTGGGATTACAGGTGTGAGCCATTGCTAATTCATCCTTTAATATCACTAATACTTACAGAGCATCTACTGCTACATATTCATGATTGCACTCGATAGAAAACATAAAATAAAATAACACAGACGCCTGTTCAGGTTGCAAATGTCCATTTCACTTCTTCTACAGAAAAGGTCACTGCATGTGGTGGCTCACACCTGTAATCCTAGCACTTTGGGAAGCCAAGGCAGGCAGATGGCTTGAGCTCAGGAGAGTTTGAGACCAGCCTAGGCAACATAATGAGACCTTATTTCCACAATAAATAAATAAATAAATAAATGAATAAATAAACAAACAAACAAAAATTAGCTGGATGTGGTGGCATGTGCCTATAGCCCCAGCTACTTAGGAGGCTGAGGTAGGAGGGTCACTTGAGCCCAGGAGGCAGAGGTTGCAGTAAGCCAAGATTGTGCCACTGCACTCCAGCCTGGTCAACAGGGTGAGACCCTGTCTCAGACAAACAAACAAACAAAAAACTGTAAAGATCAACTCTACTTTTACAGTACAATCGCAACTCAAGAAACCCTGGTAACTTTCAACAGCAATAAAACAAGGTTTGTGAGCTTATGAAATGATCTAATATACAGCTTCAGTGGCCTCTTACAGGATAATGACCCCATCACCTCTTCATCTGTCTGACTACTCTGATATCAAAAAAAAGGGGCTGGGCACGGTGGCTCATGCCTGTAATGCCAGCACTTTGGGAGGCCAAGGCAGGTGGATCATGAGTTCAAGAGATGGAGACCATCCTGGCCAACATGGTGAAACCCTGTCTCTACTAAAAATACAAAAATTAGCTAGGCATGGTGGCGCATGCCTGTAGCCCCAACTACTCAGCAGGCTGAGGCAGAAGAATCGCTTGAACCCGGGAGGTGGAGGCTGTAGTGAGCCGAGATCACGCCACTGCACTCCAGCCTGGAGAGAGTGACACTCCATCTAAAAAATAAAAATAAAAAATAAAAAATAAAAATAAAGTGGGGGGACAGATCCAGTTTGTCAGAGGAATTACTTTAACTAGTTGAGTCCTTCACTATATAAAAATGTTTTACTTAATATAACTATTCAAAATTAAAAGCTAAAACCCCACCAGAATGGTCTTTCAACAAACTGAAAAATTTATCAACAGTGTCTTCTTCAAGTACTCTGCGGTCTAAGTTTTGCTTTTTGTTTGTTTGTTTGTTTGTTTTGAGACGGAGTCTCGCTCTGTCACCCAGGCTGGAGTACAGTGGTGCCATCTCAGCTCACTGCAAGCTCCGCCTCCCGGGTTCACGCTGTTCTCCTGCCTCAGCCTCCCGAGTAGCTGGGACTACAGGCGCCCACCACCACGCCTGGCTAATTTTTTGTATTTTTAGTAGAGACGGGGTTTCACCATGTTAGCCAGGATGGTCTCGATCTCCTGTCCTCGTGATCCACCTGCCTTGGCCTCCCAAAGTGCTGGGATTACAGGCGTGACCCACCGCGTCCGGCCTGCAGTCTAAGTTTTAAATGAACTAGTTCTAGAATATGATGTCATGTTTATCCACCAAGTCATAAAACCTCTGTAACACCCCCTCATAGAATTTTTGTACTAGGAATTACCTTGGAGATCATTTAGTTCAATACCTTTAGTTTATACACAGAGAGGTAGTGGCCCAAAGAATTCAGCTGACTTACTTGATGCTCTTTCTTGTGTCTGACAATGTTTCTCCATACTCTCAGCACTTTAGAGGTTAGAAGAACCTAATGACATCTGTGGGAGGCAAAAGCTACTCGACTATTTTTACAGAATCCTGGAGCAGAAAGGCCTCTGAGGTCACAGAGTTAACAAATTCCTATCAAATGATTCAATTCTGTCTACATCATCCCTCAAAATCAACATCAAGTTTACACAAGCATCTAAATAAGAAACAGCATACTCCATTTTTTAAAATAATCACAACTTTTGGGAATGACTCTCATCTTCTGATCCGAAAGCTATCTCCAGTAACTTCTTACTGGCCCTCCCGCTAGTCTTTGGAGTTAGGAAGACTGACATAAGCAATGTAAACACTTTTCTATGAGAGTTTCCACAAGCAGAAGGATAATGACCCTAGGCCTACAAAGCATACACATCCCCAGCTTATTTAATCAGTTCTCCTAAGACCTGCTATCCAGGCCCCTCACTGCCACAGCTGTCATCTACATCATTCGTAAAATGCGGCACCCAGAAGTGGCTGGGAATGGCCAGATCAGTCCTGACTAAGTGTAAAATCACCTCTCCTGATCTGAGTGCTGCATATCTGGTAATTTAGCCTACAAATAAACTGCATTCTGACAGATATGTTATGCTGTTGGTTTAAACTGAGTCAACTAAAACTATGAGGTGAATGGCGTAAGTCTCTTTCATCCTGTGCTGAAGAGGCTGGATTTTATCTATAGTGGGCTTCCCTTCAACTGTTTCCCCGTTATTCAAGTACTCGCGAAGTCACTGACTCAGGCAGCCTCTCGACTGAAAACGGCGACTAATTCTGTTCACTCCACATCCTGGACTGTCATTCTCCCTCACACCACAGAAATCTGTTTCTTTCATAAGCTGTGGATAAGGTAGAATGTGTAAACTACTCCCTGATACCAAGTTTCCAGGTAAAAAGCACTGTCAAAGTTGACACTGTTTTCCTTAAAACATTAAAAAACCCACACGTTTACACAGAAAATCAATATAAAATCATCAGTAACTTGGTCCTTTTTTTTTGGTTAAGGTTTATTGCTTCAGTCTCTTTCAAAGAATTTTTTGATACTTAAACCTTTACAGAAAAATTTATAAAGTTCCACAGGTATCAACAATTCATAAATTCCAAGGGGCTTTTGGATAGTCGTTTTTTGTTTTTTTTTTAAATAACTATAAAAAATTTCACTTCCCATTTAAAACAAACAAAAAAAAAGTGCACACACGTACACGAGACGAACTGCTCATTACATGCTCAGTCACAGGATGACAGAAAAAAAAAAGTCACCACCATAAAAGGATGTCTGCATAACCTCTCTTAAAACAACATGCCACAGTTAACTTACTTCAGTTTGGACAAGTACTGACAGCTACTACACAGAGATCCGAACGAGTCACTGATATGTAAGTACGAGATCTTTTGCTTTTTCAACAAATTTTTTTAAGAAAAACTTTAAAAGCCTAAGTTTTAAGTTAAAGGTAAAAAGGAAAAGAATCTATTTAAGAACAAGCTACCATCACTTCTAACAAAAATTATACTAATAATGTAAGTTTAGACTCTCTGCTGACTGGTAGGTCTAGTTAGTTCTTACAAAGCTGAGTGAAAGCGATGGGTCCGCCAGAAATATCTTTGTCAAAAAATAGGGCTTACTTCATGTACTACTGTATAAACTCACAATGACAAAAAACAGTATCAAGCAAAACTATGCAAATAATGCCAATATTTCAGGATAACTTAGTATGAAGGAAAAGGAACAAAGTTATTTTAATATAGAATATTCCTACACTATAGGAATTATTAGAAATATAAGATTATTTCTCAGGATGGAATCTCAGTGGTAGAATTCCTAGGGCAAAGGATATATTTTCTAAAGCTTTAGATATAAAATGGTACTTTTTGGTTTACAAAAACATTTTACCAATTTACCCTCCCACCAGCAAAGAGTACCAATCTTTGCTTTTTAAATGCTAAATACTACTAATTAGATAAGTGAAAAAAAAAGTCTGTTGTGTGGTTTATATTTACATTTAGTTAGACTAAACATATGTTTTCTTTGTGCTTGGGGGGGAAAATCCAAATGAATTCTATGCAGTGCTTTGGCAACATTTATGTCCAGGTTGGGAATGGTGGTAACAGAAACTTGGCAAAATAGAAGCTGTGAAGAGACTTCCTTTAAAGGGGGGTGAGGGTTTTGTATATGTGTATTTGTGTGTGTGCTGGGGGAGGGGGAGTAGTATTTTGTTTTTTTGGTGTCACTCTGAATACAATATAGTATAATAAGAGCAAGGGCTCTGAAATTAGGCTCAAATGTAATTTACAAGCTGTGTGGCCCGCCACGCAAGTTACCTAATACCTGACTTCAGCTGCTTTACCTGTAAAATGGGGAGTATTATTACTGCCAAGTCCTTACAACATTGCCTCTCAATATAAGTGCTAAGAAACTGTCTCCTACAATTCTTCTCCCAACCCTCTGGCCACTGACGTACCAGAGGGAGAATCCAACAGATATGTTATGGATATTTTACATTAAGACCCTGAATCTGGCTGGGCGTGATGGCTCACTCCTGTAATCCCAGCACTTTGGGAGGCTGAGGCAGGCGGATCACCTGAGGTCAGGAGTTCAAGACCAGCCTGGCCAACATGGTGAAACTCCATCTGTACTAAAAATATAAGTTAGCCAGGCATGGTGGCACTCACTTATAATCCCAGCTACTCGAGAGGCTGAGGCAGGAGAATCCCTTGACCTGGGAGGTGGAGGTTACAGTGAGCCAAGATTGCGCCACTGCACTCCAGCCTGGGCGACAGCGCAAGACTCTGTCTCGATAAATAAATAAAATAAATGGCCCTGAGTCTATGGATGATCACACATCTAACTGTGCTTACTGGTAGGACTCCACACTTCTTATATTTTAGCATGTTTTCTCTCTGGGGGCTCACTGCACTTTTTGGACATAAAACCACAAAAAATATGCTACTCCACAAAATGTTCACTCACATGTTTATGTATCATGTCAGTGATAATGGTGATGATCCCCTGCACAAATTACTTTCATCTGGCTTCCTAGAGCTAATTAGTATCATGATCAGTCACTTAATGGAATAAATATTAACTCAGGTTGCTATATGACTTTAATTCATTTATTTATTCTATAGATATTTACTAGATATCTATTGTAGGTTGGTTCTGTAGCATTCTATGGGATAAAATGTTAGATGAGATCAAGTCATCATCCTTAAGAAGCTTAAGAGCTTCGCACCTAACAAAGCCGTTTACAGGGATGCTTTTCTCTCTGTTATGGTTAAGACCTGCTGGAGTTGTTAGGCAGCCCTGGACGTGGCCTGTGTAGAGGACGTGTGGTGTCCTCCGGTCTGGGGGGTTGATCACCTTCCCAAGAAGTCTGGGTATCGTATAAAATGAGATAACGCAGGTGAAAATCCTCTGAAAGCTGTGACAGTAACACAGATGCCTGTGGTGTTTTGGAAGCCCAAAGAGAAGAATAAAAATGTTTCGTTAAATCTCTGCAAATATCTAAAAAGTAGTTTAAAAATCAATTAACAGGATAAAAGCCTATTCTAGGTATTCACCATATTTTTTCAATTGAAATTTCAGTCTAAATTGCTTTATTATTAAAATATTGTTAAAACAGTAAAGTCTAAATCCATTAATAAAATCTTTACTTACTTTAAAATATGCTACAAATAAACTAATAAACTCCTTCATTTGAATCAACGTCTCTTTCTCCCTGCCCCTATTCCCTTCCCCAGCTCTCCCAGTCTTTCTTGTTCAGATAGGTATGAGTTAGTGTACGTTAAGGTTTTGAGATGTCTTCCTATTTTACTTGTTTTCTACCCATAATAACAGATCATGTTGGACACAGGACATAAACAGTATTGTACTGAATGTGACTTCTGAAGCCAAACCGCCTGGATCTGAATCCTGACACTTAACAGCTAGGTCTTTAGTCACTTAAGTGCCCTGGTGCCTCCGTTTCACCATCTGTCAATGGACTTGTGAAAGTTCTGAGAGGATTAAATGAGTAAACACACATAGAGTGCCCAGGGCAGTACCTGGAACACCGTCCCTGCTTAGTAATTTTGGTGATTATTATTCATCAAGGGCTTACTGTAGTGTAATAAAGAATCTTTCATTAAGGATTAAGAAAGCTGCAATGTTCCTATTCTTTAATGGGTATTTATTGAATATCGATCATACATCACCTAGAGATACAAGAAATTAACACCACAGGACTCCCACTCACCGTACTTCACAGGCTCATGGGAGACAGGGAAGAAAATCAATGATACAGATACTATGACAGAGCACAGCACCCTCACAAATACAGCCACCCTGCCCTTCAGAGGATGGACAACAGGAACACTCCTGCGATACTTAGAACTAAGCCTGGAAGGAAAGTAGGAGCTGAGGATATAGGACAGGGGCCAGGAGACATCAGACAGAGGGAAGAGTGTTACCAGGCACAGAGTTGTGAGGGAACATGGGACATCCAAAGGTGATAAGTAATTTTGTATGGCTGGAGCCAGGGCACGATCAGGAGAAGCTGGCCAGCAACCCTCCTGAAGAGGGAACGGAGCTCAAATCATGAGGGAACTTGTGAGTCATGACACAGATCTTGTGGTTTGCCTGGGGTTGGATGGGCCCCGTTTGAGAGCCTGGCGGGAAGCTGCTGCCGTGGCTGTGGGCAGAAAGGCGGGAATGGCACACAACAGGCAGACAGACAGACATGGATGTGCAGCAGAGCACAGGCTGAGGCACAGGGACTGCTCGCTGACTAGTGGCAGCAGGTGATGGAGAACATGGAGTCCTGGGCGCCTTCATGAACCCTGCCTTAAGTACCCCAGTAAGATCCCTGAACGAATGACTGAGTTGATCTGGAATTTGGTTTATCCATAAAATAACGATATCTAATGTTCCTCCCTAATTTCCATGTGATAATAGAGACAAAAACAAAATTGAAACTCCTTGAACTTGAAAGAGAAAAGGTACATATGATTTCCAGAAACATTCAGGACTCAGCGGAAAAATATTAAAGACACAGAGCTTCATTATAAAGAGCCTTTTTATATTATGCAGTTAGTTTTCCCACATGTTGCATCCTACAAATCATGCCAGATAGAAATAGAGGATATCTTTCTTACACTAAAATGAGTATTATGGTGGGATTCTTAGTTTCTTAGTTCTCTAAACATATGTCATCTTCATCTTCAATAACTTCCATACTTTTCAATATAAAAGCCACCAAAAGCCACACAGTAAAAGCTTTTACTAGTGAAAGGTGAAAGAAAATAACTGGAATATGTGAAACCCCAAATACGCAAGTGGGTGTTCAACCAAAGAATTCCTGCGCTCAAGCACCTTTCCATCATTTCCAAGGAACGCGTCTATGAAGCTGAAGTGGGTCTTCACTGCACATTCACTGGGTTCGGGACACATATAAAGCACAAAGAGGAAACGGTAGACTGCTAAACACTTTTTCTGTCTTGAAGAGGTTTTTCTGTCTTGAAGAAGGTCTCTGTGCTTGGTCCTGTAAATAGCCTTTTGCAGATCTATTGGGAGCTGGTCTGACCCAGGCTATGCAATGGGGTCAGCAGGCCGGTCACAGAGCTCCTCAGTAAGGCTGCCTCTACTAAGTCCCTCGGCTAGTCACACTCCATAAGCCCCCCAGGAGGCAGGGGAGGTCCCCCAAACAGATGGACCACAGTCAACTCTATGCTGAATATCACTCTGGTATGCGTGATTTTTTGAAAGGATATAGGGAATATTGTTCTCAATCCTTCTAAAAAATGAATCATGGACCCAGACATAGCTATCAATTTAGGACTCAAAGTTGGCTGGGAAAAAGTCACCTTACATTGTACAAAGATGTATTTAACCAGGCCACAGAGGCATGTACTGACTACTATGACAGTTGGTTAGCAGTGTATTATTAATAGAATGGACAATCTGACTTTATTAATGAAGCACCAGGAGGCTCTGACTATGCTGGTCATATTTCCACAGCAGTGCAGGTTCCTCTTGCATACCAGGAATGCATGTTTTCCACTGTCCATTTTACAGGCAAATGGCCCCCATAATATCTCAAATGATGGCTGTTCGGTCAGTGAAAAAGGTGGTACGAAAAATCACTAATTGAATGCTAGGACCCAGTATGTGTGACACTGGGCCAAATTTAGATGCCCCTGTTTGAACAAGAAGGTGTTTTCAAATAATTGACAAATACTTATAAAACCAGGTAACCAGAGGAAGAAGTAATGATTTCTTTCTTCCGTGGAGCAGGTTTATTCTCAGGGGAGCTGAAACAGTCCTGGCCTGCCGTCTGATACATCTGTGCTTGTCGTTATTTCCTCAGTAGAACCATATCCTTATAATATCAATTAACCCCGA